GAGTCACAGACTGAAACAGGCTCCAGGCTCCGAGCTGGCAGTCAGCACAGAGCCCGACGCGGGGCTCGAACCCACGAACCGCGAGATCATGACCTGAGCGAAAGTCGGACGCTTAACCGACTAAGCCACCCAGGCGCCCCTATTATTATTATTTTTTTTTAAATTTAATGTTTTATTTCTGAGAGAGACAGCATGAGCAGGGGAGGGGCAGGGAGAGAGGGAGACAGAGAATCTGAAACAGGCTCCAGGCTCTGAGCTGTCAGCAGAGAGCCCGATGCGGGGCCCGAACCCACGAACCGCGAGATCATGACCAGAGCCGAAGTCGGACGCTCAACCGACTGAGCCACCCAGGCACCCCAAGGATTTTTAATTTTATTATAAATAGCTTGGAACGTCTGGACCATGGTGTGTGTGTGTGTGTGTGTGTGTGTGTGTTAACCCCAAACTCCAGACACTAGGCCTTAAGACATTTTTCTCCCACCCAGGGAGAGACAGAAGTGCCCAGGCAGAGACACGTTTCCGGTGACCTTCCTTTGCAAGCAGGTGGCCTTGTCCATGTTCACCCGTCACTGAGGGGCGGCTCTGCGAGGGCTTCATCTCACACCTCCCAGCCCACCCTCAGCATCATGGCTTTGAAGTCCTGGCTCCTCTTTTATTTTTTTATTTATTATTTAAAAAAAAATTGTGTGTATTTTTGAGAGAGAGAGAGACAGACAGACAGACAGACAAAGCACGAGCAGGGGAGGGGTAGAGAGAAGAGAGAGGGGGAGACACAAAATCCAAAGCAGCTCCAGGCTCCGAGCTGTCAGCACAGACACAGACATAGACATAGGGCTTGAAAACAAGAACTGTGAGATCATGACCTGAGCCCAAAGTCAGACACTTACCCGACTGAGCCCCCCAGGTGCCCCGGTCCTGTCTCCTCTTGACATCAATTAAAGCAACACCTTAGCAGACAGAGATCAGCGAATGCTCCCAGAGCAGTGGCGGCTTCTTGGGGCTTCTTGCTCATTTGAGGCCCCTGGGGACGCACACTTTCTGTGGGCCCAGACATTCCAAACTATGAAAAAAATGATCTCACTAGACCCAGAGAGGCAGTACTCACAGGAGCCTGGCTGACACAGAAACCAAATCAACTCGGGAGGCGCACTCAACCCAGGGCCTGGGGTTCCCACAGACAGGGGCCCAGAAATACACGGCAGCAAGTGCGGCCCTGCCCGGAAGCGTGGACAAGACACAACACAACGGATGTATGGACAGAACTGATCATCTGAAACGATGCTTGCGATGCTTTACCCAGCAGTGTGAACTGTTCCGTGGCCCAGCAGTTCTTCCTAATAGCTAGTGGCCAGACGCTCCCAGATGATGAGGGAGCAGGACGCAGGCTCAGGGGCAAAATACAGGCGAGGACACCCCCCCCCCCCACGGCCTCCCCTAGTGGGATCTGTGTGATATTCCTCGGACACTCCCGGAGACCCAAAAACAAAGGAAAGGGGTTAAAGCGCTTGCCGTGGCGATGGGGGAAACTAAGGCAAATGAAAAATTAAATTCCCTTACTGTCTACAGCCCATTGACAGGTCCTTGAAACCGGCAGTGACCTTCCTCTAGGAGCTCAGCTGCCTCGACATGACACTTTGCTGGGGGCAAAAGAGAATCTTGCCTTCACATTATCCCAACCCCCAGGACCCTGTAAGTCTACTTCCTTTACCTCAACTGCCCCAAGGTATATGCTGGCAATCACACTTCAGGCTGTGGCCCCCGATATATATCTGCAGGGTCTCATGACTGAGGTTTTATTAAACAGTAATAAACTACTAGCAACAGCTAGTCCCTCAAGGTCCTGGAAACCTTGTTTCCAGAACTCCCTCGAGGCTTACTCCATCCCTGACCCCCTCCCAACCCTCAGGTTGAATTACCTGTCACGACCCCAGCGCAGCTCTTTCTGCCCACGGGTCCTGTCCCTGTGCTTTAATAAAATCACCTATTGCACCAAAAATGTCTTCAAGGATCTTTCCTAGCCATCAGCGCCAAAGCCCACAAACCTCTGATCACCCCAAAACTTCAACACATGTGTTGAAGCGCATGTGTTTTATTTATTTAAATTGTATTTCAGAGAGAGAGAGAAAACGAGAGAGCAAGTGGGGAAGAGGGGAAGAGGGAGGGTGAGAATCTTTTTTTTTTTTTTTTTAATGTTTTATTTATTTTTAGGAGAGAGAGAGATAGACAGCGTGAGCAGGGGAGGGTCAGAGAGAGAGGGAGTCACAGTCTGAAACAGGCTCCAGGCTCTGAGCTGGCAGTCAGCACAGAGCCCGACGCGGGGCTCGAACCCACGAACTGCGAGATCATGACCCAAGCGAAAGTCGGACGCTCAACCGACTAAGCCACCCAGGCGCCCCGAGAATCTTTTTTTTTTTAAATGTTTATTATTTTTCAAAAAATTTTTGGATGTTTTTTAATTTAATTTATCCTTGACATAGAGTGATAGAGCATGAGCCGGGGAGGGGCAGAGAGAGGGAGACACAGAATCAGAAGCAGCTCCAGGCTCTGAGCTGTCAGCACAGAGCTGGATACGGGGCTCAAACCCACGAAGGATGAGATCATGGCCTGAGTTGAAGTTGGCCACTTGACCAACTGAGCCACCCAGGTGCCCCTAATGTTTGTTTATTTTGGGGAGAGAGCGAGGGAGGGGCGAGGGGTGGGGAGAATCCCAAACAGGCTCTGTAATGTCAGCACAGAGCCCTGAGATTATGACCAGAGCTGAAGTCAGATGCTTAACCGACTGAGCCCCCCAGGCACCCTGGAGAGAGAATCTTAAGCAGGCTCCACACTCAGTGTGTTAGCTTCCTAGAAGGCCCTGCCCCCCCACCCCATGCCTAGGCATTGGGCTGCTACATCGTTGCCATAGTTACCTTCACACACAATCATGTTGCCTCTTTGAAAACCATCAACATGCCCCCTCCCCCCACTTTTGTGTCTCCTTCCCCAGGGCTCCCCTCAGCTAGAAGTGCCCTCTCCTCAAACTTCTCTGGCCGTGACCGCGCTGATCCCAATGAGGGAGGCCTTTCATTTAATTCTTGAGTCTTAAACCTTCAGCTGCCTTTACCGGGTTGTGCTTGCTGCTGACAGAGGGCGCATGAGTCCATGCTCCATTCCATGGTCAGTTTCCCCAAGTGGCAGCTGTGACTCCTCACCTTTCATACTCTTTTTTCATGTTTATTTAATTTTGATAGAGAGACAGAGACAGAGGAGAAACAGAATCCAAAGCAGGCTCTAGGCTCTGAGCTGTCAGCACAGAGCCCGACGCGGGGCTCGAACCCACGTACTGTGAGATCATGACCTGAGCCAATGTTGGACACTTAGCCGACTGAGCCACGCAAGCGCCCCATCACCCTCAATATTCTTAATCGCCTTTAAAATAAGCACACTTTGATGAGGTTTTGGAGTGCTGGTGGGGTCAGGAGCTGAGGGCCAAGAAAGAATTCTTGACCCGTCTTTGGTGCAAAAAGGTGAATTTATTAAAGCACAGGGACAGGGAAAAGGGAAGGATCCAAAAGGGCTTAGATATGCAAAAGCGGACTCCTAAGATACTGCAGGTCTAGCTATGGTCCAGCGAAGGCTGGTTTTCCCTCTAGCAAAGCATTAGCATTAAGACGGTAGGGAGTCCCCGGAGACACCTTGTACTCTGCCAGCCTCAAGTATTTGCCAATGGGCTGCAGGTTATAAAGAAATTTAATTTTACCTGCCATTTCCCTCTGCCTTTGTTTCCCACATCACTAAGGAGGGGACTGCACATTCAGCTCCAGGAAACTAGGTGTATAGGGTTCTGGAAGTTAGGCTATTGAGAAGATTGCCTTTATCTTATAATTTACGAAGATATTTGTCGACTGATGGAGACGCACACGTGTCCTGCAGGACTGTGATCTCTGTCAGTAAACCATTTGTTTTCTTTCCTTTCCTCTGTCCTCGGGCAGCCGGAAGTGCCTGCGGAACTCACACTTATCCCGCCTGGCTTGGGCGGGGGGGGGGGCCTCTGCCTACTCTATGCTCCCTCATCAACTTCACAAACACAAGTGTGAACTGTCAGCTGGAGACAGCAGAGTTGGTGTGTTTTGAGTTAAAGGATAATTCTTCTGTCATCAAGGTTTTCCTCCCTACGGAGACAAAGGAATCCTTTCTCATGATTACCCTGAGACCTAGGGCTGTCCTGTCTGCCTCCCCGGGTGACAGGTGGCAGGTCGCATTCCACTCGCTGGATTCGAGTCCCCTTTGAGAAGTGTCTGAGGGGACACGTTTCTGCCCATTTACCTTGTGACCTGAATGAATGTCCGGTCAGGGTGGAGTCAGAGGTGTGGGCACGTTCACCTTCCAGGGGGTGCTGGACAGGGCAAGGGGGGCGCAGGGCGTCACGATCCAGAGCGACGCCTGCTGCACAATCATGCCCTACTTTGGGGGAAGTCTTTGCACCGCGAGCCACCAGCATTCGGGTAAAATAAAGCTTGCACTCCGGCTCTGCCTAGCTCCGGAAGCGGTGCCGTCAGGGGCCCAAAGCGCGCCCTGGGCCCGCCTGAGGTCGCCCGCAGGATGAGCAAGGAACGGTGGTGGCCACGCCCCTCGAAGGACGGGCCCGGCCCGACGCCACACGGCGGTCAGGCAGAGACCCCGGGCCTAACGTGCCGAGGGGCCTCAAGTCCACCACACACAGACGCCGCCGGGCCAGGGCCGGGAATGTGCAGGGCACGGTCTGGGGCCCGTGCGCCCGGGAAAGAGGCGGGCAGAAGGCGCGCCCGCGCTCCCCAGGCAAGGACGCCGCAACATCCCGCGCGCGTCCAGACCCCGCGGCTCCGGCGCGAACTGCTCCGCCTGTGATTGGCAGGTCCACGGGGGCGTGGCCTCGAGGCGCCGCGCGGGGAGCCGGGAGGCGGCTGGGAGGCGCGCGCAGCTCCGCGGTCCCGCCCCGCCCCGTCCCTGCCTGTGATTGGTGTCCTCGGCCCAGGGGGCGGGCCGTCGCCCGGAGTGCGCGCGCAGCTGTGGAGTCAACCCCCGAGCGACCTCTGCCAGGCCAGGCCCGCCCACGCGTGTCACGGTCATGGCGGCGTCGCTTCTGCTGCGGCAAGGGCGGTCGGGGGCGCTGAAGGTAAAGGGGAGCCGGGCCGGCGGCCGGGAGCCCGTGTAGGGCCGGGGCGAAGGGCACCTGCAGCCGTCCGGGTGGGCCTTTGACCCGGGTCCTGGGTGGCGGAGAGGGCGCCGGGCCGGGGCAGGGGGCCGCGGGCCGTGGGGGCAGGCCTGGCGGGGGGCGGCGGGCGGACGCCGACCCCGGTCTCCCGGGGAGCCCCCGGCGTGCGGTGCCAGAGCCGCGGGCGGGTGCGAGGGCTCTCAGGTGTCCTGCGCCGCCGCGCCCGCTCCGAGCCGCTAAGGACCACGTCGTGACCTTTTCTGTGGCCCGGAGGGGGGAGGAGGGGACTTTCAGGCACCTGGTTGACCTGGTAACTTACTTGGCAGCCACTAAGATGCCCGCTTACATGACCCCATCTGGGAAAAGAGGAAGACGGAAGGGCTTTCTCTTTCCGTGTAGAAAAAAAGTAAGATCATTCATTGCAGTGCATTTAAATTCTTCAATGGCTTTTCCACAAAAGCAGTAACTATTCATTCATTGCCAGATACGGTATAGAGATGGGGACAGATCTGCTTCCTAGAGTCCAGCGTTTCGTCCTTCAAACACCTGGTTCCAAATTATTTTTTCAGCTTTCACACGTACTTGGAGTCATAAACATGACCAAACATATTTTTACCTTCGTGTACATAGGCGAAGCAGGTTTGTACTGTATCCAGCTTCTAGAAAAGTGCCCAGCACACAGTAGGTGTTAGTAAATACATGCTGAGTGAATTGTCAGTTTATAAGATGTTTGCCCCTTACCATACACTGTAAATGGTTTTGAAGCAGTTATCCATTTACATCATTATTAACAGCCACATAGTATTTCTTTATTATTTTTTAATGCTTGTGTATTTTTGACAGAGAGACAGACAGACAGACAGAATGCAAGTGGGGGAGGGGCAGAGAGAGAGGGAGACACAGAATTTGAAACAGGCTCCAGGCTCCGAGCTGTCAGCACAGAGCCCGACGTGGGGCTGGAACTCACCAATCGTGAGATCATGACCTGAGCCAAAGTCAGATGCTCAACCAACTGAGCCTCCCAGGCACCCCTCAGATAGCATGTTCTAAGTATAAGAAAACACTTTATTTACGAAAAGAACCAGAGCATTTTGTAGGTTAAATAGCAATTGGGGACTACAAAAAGTATGCACAGGAGAAATTGTGTGTTTTTTTTTTACTTTTCTTGGAGTTAATAGTTCATAGTGACTGTCATGTGGTTTTTTTCTTGCAGCTTTTTTTGTATTTTTCCAAATTTTCCTGTTATGAAAATTGTAATAACCATTAGAAATGTAACACAAATGATATGCTATAACATTATATGTTACATAGTACATACGATACTTGTAACGATACATAATATCTATAGGTTGTACTAGCTTCCTCTAAATGTAGTGGCCTTCAGGGCACCTGGGGGGCTCAGCCGGTTGAGCGTCCAACTTCAGCTCAGCTCATGATCTCACGGTTCATGGGTTCGAGCCCCGGGTCGGGCTCAGTGCTGACAGCTCAGAGCCTGGAGCTGCTTCAGATTCTGTATCTCCCTCTCTCTCTCTGACCCTCCCCTGCTCACACTGTCTCTCTCTCAGAAATAAATAAAACATTTTTTAAAATTTTTAATAAATAAATGTAAAAAATATTAAAAAAATAAATGTAATGGCCTTCCTCTAAAATGTCCATATTTGTTCATTATTCTGTCAGACTGTGCTCCTAGACGCACGAGTGCTTCAGGGACTCGCTCCCTCAGCATCTCTTTCTGCGGAATCAGGGAAGAGTGAGAAGGGACTGCCACCGACTCCCAAGAAGCAAAGTTCGCCAAAAAGTAAGATTTCAGTGATAGTCCCCAGGGGAAAATACTGCAAAGTAAATAAATCAGTCCGCTCTCCAGGCATGAAAAGGCGTTTTACTACCCACATCATTCGATTGTTCATTTCCAGCCGTGTCCAGATTGTAATCAGGATCTGGGACAGATCTTAGACCAAACACATTAGTAACAGGTGGTCTTGGACTCACCGTTTAGCCCTGAGCCAGTTCTGTCTGTTTTCTAAGTGCTGTGCTCTAACGTGGGGCGAAGGGGTCACTCGGGTGGCCCTGACCAGGTGCCACGCTCCCGTGGGAGCTCTGAACCCCATCCTTTCTCTGCCCCCAGTTGTGACACTTAGTGTCATGGAAACGCACGTTGGCTTCCTGGGCTGTACGGGCCACGGGGCCGGGCTGCAGACACCCTTTAATGACCCCGGGAGGGAGTTCGGCCCCGCGCTCCATCACCGCTCACTTGGCTGAAATGTGATGGCTGACCTCTGTCCAGCCTTGGTCACTTTCACTTTTATTTCTGGTTTTTACTTTTTTTTTAATGTTTTCTTTTCCTTTAATTTATTTCTGAGAGAGAGACAGACAGCATGAGCAGGGGAGGGTCAGAGAAAGAGGAAGATACAGAATCTGAAACAGGCTCCAGGCTCTGAGCTGTCAGCACAGAGCCCGACATAGGGCTCGAACCCACAAATCTTGAGATCATGACCTGAACTGAAGTCGGATGTTCAACCGACTGAGCCACCCAGAGGCCCCTGGTTTTTACTGTTTCCCCCCCCCTTCCTGAATACCAATGTAGCATATCCTCATGGAAGGAAAATAGAATGTGCAATGGTATATTTTAAATACTTAAGGGAATTTTGTTCTCTACAACCTGTCCATTATTAATAACTGACTCTAGGGGGCGCCTGGCTGGCTCAGTCAGTGGAGCTTGTGACTCACTGTCTCAAGATCGCGAGTTCAAGTCCTGCATTGAGTGTAGAGTTTATTTAAAAATAAAATCTTAAAAAAAAAAAAAAAGATGTGTATGTATCTATGTATGTACAGTCTCTTTGCAAATCTTTGACCTTCTTATGTGGTTCAGAACGATAATCTGAGTTTGTCGTCTTTTCCTCATTTACCATTTCCTGTTTGAATATTTGAAAGTGTTTAGGTGTTGTTCCGTTTTGGCCCTCTTTGGTTTGCGCACCAAAACATGGGTAGGTTTTAAAATATTGGCACGTTGTTGAGTATGCTGGCCTCCTGCTGCCTTTCATGCCCTGTTGATCTCAGGTGAGGAATCACACCTTCTTAGGGGGTCTCATTGCCTGGGGGCCTGAATTCAACATTGTTTAACTCATTCCTGTACCTGCCTCATGTTTAAATCCAGTGGTGGTGGTATTTGGTTGTTTTTTTTTTTTTTTTTTAAGTGTATATGATTTTAAATAGATACTTTAAAAATTAGAACTCTTTTGGGGGCGCCTATGTGGCTCGGTTGATTGAGCTTCCGACTTCGGCTCAGGTCTTGATCTCATGGTTCGTGGGTTCAAGCCCGTAGTCCAGCTCTATGCTGACAGCTCGGAGCCTGGAGCCTGCTTCACATTCTGTGTCTACCTCTTTTTCTCCCCCTCTCCTGCTCACTCTCTCTCTCTCTCAAAATTAAACATGAAAAAAATGTTTTTTTCTGGTGCACCTGTGTGGCTTAGTTGGTTAAGCATCCAACTCTTTGTTTCAGCTCAGGCCATGATCTCACAGTTCGTGAGTTCCAGCCCCACATTGGGGCTGTCAAGACTTATGTGAGGCACCTTCTTTTTTTATTATGTATTTATTTTTGGGAGAGAGACAGAGCACAAGTGGGGGACGTGCAGAGAGAAATGGAGACACAGAATCTGAAGCAGCTCCAGGCTGTTAGCTGTCAACACAGAGCCCGACGCGGGGCTGGAACCCACAAACCGTGAGGTCGTGACCTGTGCCGAAGTCAGACTCTTAACAGACTGAGCCATCCAGGCACCCCTCCAAGGTTAGTTTTGTGACCCAGTGACAAGATCTAGAAGAATTCTAAGGTAGCTAATCCGTTTCCAGCACCACAGTCATTTTCGCCTGTGTTAGGGAGACCCCTGAAAACGTGTTGGTCATGGCCTCCCTTTTCTACCCAACAAAAAAAGATTCAGAAAATAGAGTCAAGTTCTGTTGGAGGTCGAAACGCAGTATGGCTCCTAGTGACTGTGCGCCTTCACCGCTCCCAGGCTGTTGTGCTCGTTTATCCGGTGTCTCCGGCAGGGGGACGCAGCCCCAGAGGCCCTCATCTTGTGCAGTGAGATGTGCCTGCACGGCCGGTCTTACTTAGGTGGTTTTGTGTGTTCATAGATTTGTTTTCCAAGGAAGGTCAGTATTAAACTGAAGCGCAGAGTGTGGGGGCGCCCTGCTCTGGCCAAAAGTGCGAGACTTCGGGAAAACCAACAGGTGAAGTCAGAGTGCGGGCCCTTGTTCCTCTCCGTGACAGTGCTGTTTCCCAGGCGACCTCATTGTGCACCGTGCGGCGGGACACACACTCGGTCTGCGCCCTGCACTCCGGAATATTCTGCACCGCACTCTGAACAGCGGCTACTAGTGGCGGTTTCCTTTGGGGTCACCAGGGGACACTGGGCCTGTTCTGCAGTGGGTCAGAAATTGGCTCGCAATAAAAGGAAAATGTGTCATTGTTTAGTCCGCTGGCCTTTCCATGGAATTCTCCCAGTAACTTCGCATAAGTAATTAAAACGTTCTTATGTCGTGTAATAGAAATTTCCTTTTCAAAGAGATTTTTTTTTTTAATTTTTTAACATCTATTTATTTTTGAGAGACAGAGTGTGAGCAAAGGAGGGGCAGAGGGAGAGGGAGACAGAATCTGAAGCAGGTTCAAGCTCCTCGCTGTCAGCATAGAGCCCGACGCGGGGCTCGAACCCACAGGCCGTGAGATCTTGACCTGAGCTGAAGTCAGACGTTTAACTGACTGAGCCACCCAGGCGCCCCCAAAGAGAATTTTTATATGTTAATCCCATGTGAAATTTTCTTTCCCCTTTCAGTGGGTGATAAATCAGTCTACGATGTAGTTCTGATAAGTATTTGCAATTTTTAAATTGACCAGATACCTTGGAAGATTCAGGCGTAATTTTTGTATTCATAGCAGCCTATCTAAGATACACCTTATTTTAAGTTAATTTTTCAGACTCGGAGAATTCATGCCCACCATAAACGTGAAGGAATGATACACGTGAGCGGGCCCAGTGGTGTGCGGGTCACGCTAGGAATCGCTGAGCTGGTTCAAGTAAGGTTTAGAGAGAGGCAAAGAGAGAGCATTCAAGTGGGTATATACTCCTTTGCCTCATTTTGAGGTCTAACATGATCCGGGAGCTCTGAGAGAGCTCTGAGGGTCAGGCCAGCACCTGCTCAGCGTTCAGAAGGCAGATGCTGGGCTGGCCTGTAGCCACAGGTGCTGATGCGGCACGGAGGACGTGGCGCTGCTAGAGGTGACGGTGGCGAAGGTAGTACGGATGCGGGTGGATGGAGGGGGTGGAGGTGACTGATGGGGTGGTAGTGGAGGCGGAGGCGATAGATGAAACAGCCCCCTGTGCACGAGCTGCTCTGTCCAGCCCTTGCACGCTGCCCATTTTCCTCTCTGGCCCATTTCTGCTTTGGGGATGTTCCTCAGTGTTCTTGGATCATTTTCTGTCCTTCTGTCCTTTGTCCTATTCTTTCTTGGATACTGGTAAGGTATTGACCTTAGGAACACATTGTTTCCCACTTGAGAGAAGAAGGATTGAGATCTTTTTAGTATAAAGTAGACTCCTAGACTTGAAAGTGAAAGCTCTGCATTTAGAATTTGCTCATCTGTAATGTGTTTCTAAGTTTTTCTGTAGATTTGGAAAGTAATTTTAATTTCTAAAAACTTGTCTTCTATTTTTCTTTAAATCTGTGGGGTTAGAAAAGATTTACAACCTGAGGGGCGCCTGGGTGGTTCAGTCAGTTAAGCGTCTGACTTTGGCTCAGGTCACAATCTCACGGTTCGTGGGTTCGAGCCCCGCGTCGGGCTCTGTGCTGACCGCTCAGAGCCTGGAGCCTGCTTTGGATTGTGTGTCTCCCTCTCTCTCTGCCCCTCCTCTGCTTGTGCTGCCTCTCTCTCTCTCTCTCTCAGAAATAAATAAAACATTAAAAAAAATTTTTAAACCTGTTGTTTCCAATGATACATAAATCAATTTATTTTAGTTTTTTGTTTTGTTTTTTTTTTTTGGTTGTGTAATACTTTTCTTTGGCTGAGGAAATCTCTTAACGACTTCTGATTTTGAAGGACATTTCTCCCCCTTAGGGCACTTTGATTTGAACATTACCCCCTCCCACTAACCCCCAACTCCAGAACACGTGTGTGTCCAAACCCAAACCCAAACCCAAACCAGGCTCTTGTCTCCAGTTGTGCTTTGCTGGTTTTGTTTTTTTTTTCCTTTTTCAGAACTTTCAAGTTCATCCAGCATGGATAACTTTTTTTAATATTTGAGAAGCATTAGTTTTTTAAAGATTTAAGAAATAACACGTTTGTAAAACTTGAAGTAGTCATTTGAAAATACCTTTATGGGGGCTGCCTCGGTTAAGCATCTGACTTCGGCTCAGGTCATGATCTCACGGTTCCCAGTTTCGAGCCCCGCGTCAGGCTCTGTGCTGACAGCTCAGTGACTGGAGCTGCTTTGGATTCTGTGTCTCCCTTTCTCTCTGCCCCTCCCCTGCTCATGCTGTCTCTCTCTCAAAAAAAAAAAAAATATATAAAAAGAAGAAAATATCTTTATGGCTTAAAGATTTGAAATTTGGATGAAATAGTTGTTTAAAACTTACCATTAAAGAAGCTGTCGTGAAAAGTGGAACAAGTCTGTTACTTCTGTTGGTAAAAAGCTGCTATTAAATTTTTCAGCTGCCAAGGAAAACATCGACATCTCTTCCTGTTCTCTCTCAGGTGGCTTGATTTTTGACCTACGAGTGAGCTCATGAGCATTTCTTAGGATGATTACTTGGAAGATATTACTTCATTTTTAATGAGATGTCTATGACTGACGGATTGTTTTGTAAAATGTTGAAAATAATATTCCTCTTTATGCCATTTCCTAGATGTAGTGGAGCCAAAGGAGAGGGGCAGACCCCTAGCCACCCCAGCAGCAGCTGAATGGTCTAAAAACGTGTCTTCACCCAGTTCTCACCCACCAGTCGTGACCCCAGGCGGGGTGGTGGCTGGCCCAGGCCCCGGCCCCGACAGCGGCCCGCTATTCGCAGATGAAGGGGTTCGAGAGTTTTTGCCACGAAAGACCGTCATAGAGTTTCCTCAGAAAGTTCTGTCTCCACTCAGAAAACAGGGCTCGGATCCAAAAGCCCTTCAGGAGAGCGGGGGAAAGGATTCATCATCCTCTTCGTCGTCGTCCAGCTCCTCCGATTCAGAGTCCGACGAGGAGGGCGAGAGCGCCGACGCTGGCCCTCAGGCGGCGAGCGGGGGCCGAGGAGGGCGCCCCAAACCGCAGGCCTCCCGCCCGCTTGAAGACAGAGCCCCCGGACCTGCAGTATCAGCCAAAGAGAGGACCCGCTCAGAGCCAGACCTCACCTCTCCCGAGGGGCCCCATCAGACAAAGAAGAAAGGGAGCACCATCAAGCCTGTAGAGGACAGAAAAGACACTAAACCCAAAACCACAGCACCCAAGTCACAAGCGAATAAAGAGTTTATGAAGCAAAACGTCAAGGAAAAACAATTGCAGAAAATTCTTAGGTCAAATGAAACCGATAAAGAAAGCCAAAAGCCGCCCAAAGTTGAAAAAATCCTGCCTGCTTGCACAAAGCCAGGATTGTCTACGCAGCCGGCTGGTGGCCCAGCACCCATTCAGCTGGCAGACAGAGCTGGGGCAGCAGGACCGCCGGCCCGTGGCGGGGAGGTGGCTGTCCCCCTGTCCCGCGAGGAAAGTTTGGGGAAGCAGGTGCCGCAGGGACCCCTTAAGGCTACGGAAGAGCTTCTGGAAAGCCAGGCACCAGGACGAAGTCTGCAGCCCGGTCCTGCTCCTAATGAAGGTGTCCTGGAGGACAAGGCTGCAGGCCTGGAGCCCGAGGGAGGGGCCGGGATGGCCGAAGAGCCCGCACCTCCGGGAGGGCCGGACAGCACCCAGGGTATACCTTCGCTCGCGCTCTTGAGATCCCTCTTTCCCTGGCGGGTGGTGAGCCTCCGGGGCCTGTGGGCCGGGGCGGCGGGCGCCCCGGCGGAAGTGCACCTTCAGCGCCCCGCCCCCCCCCCATGAGCAGAGGACGGTGCGGGGCGCCCGAGGGACCCACGCCTTGTGCACAGGATCCCTGGGGCGCCTCCTGCTGGTGCCCCGCAGCCAGGGGCGTGTTTCAGCTCATCGCTGTCAGTCCCTCTTCGCCTGGGAGGGTGACCAGGAACTCGCAGGGCGTCGGGTCCTCAGGAAGGGGTCCTGATTCACTTCCACAGGCGGAGAGCCTGCCTACCCCCGCGTGGGGCTGGGGGCGGGGGGGGGGCAACTCCCTGACGGTCTTGCTCTTAGTTCCTTAGGCCTGAGGGCAAGTCCACAATGTAGGCAGCCCCGCAGCCAGGGACCCAGGGGCGGCTTGCGTCTTCTTTCCTCTGGGTGACATTTCCTTCTCTGATCACCGAAAACCCAAGGGGCTGCTTTGTTTTTCCATATTGAATTTTTATGAAGGGCTGTTTGCTATCACAGATTTTTAGTGTTTTTTTCCTGTTACGCGCCCGAGCCTGACTTACAGTGCAGGGACCTTACAGGCCTCGCCCCCGGAGCCCCACAGCGCGTCTGTAACAAACCCGCCCCTTCCTTCTGCTCTCTAGTCTTCCTAAAGCCTCCCCCTTCGCCTGGTGTCCATTATGTGCTAATTGTTACAGGTTGCGTTGTGTTGAAAGAATTTCTGTGTTTTCTTCCTTCCGTTTTCTCCCTCTTTCATTAATACGCCAAGTGCCAGCCTTGTCCACGCTTCGAGAATGCGGTTCCTGACGCTACTCTTTCAGTCATTCTGCTACACGTTGGAGACGAAAACCAAAACTTTCAGGATGATGACAGCAAACCATTGTTTCCCCGCATACTCCCTTTGCCCTTCGGGGGTGAGGCGGACGCCCAGGAGCGCAGCCCCCTTGCGGCCTCCCTGAGCAGTCCTCCGGCTCCCGCCGCCTGGCCCCTTGCCCCGAAGTCCCTGCACCCACATTTCCCTCCAGCTCACGCCTTTCCTGTATCCGCCGACGTGCCTGCACCGCATGGGGACTTTGTGCTTGAGATCGGGAGGGTGTCAGCGCTGAATAAGTCCTCGTTTTTGTTTAAGACACACCAGAAAACGTGACAAGCAGAGCTTGGAGTATGAATTCAAATGGTGGAAAGTGTGCTTGGGTGATTTCCCGTGCAGTCTGGGGAGCCGCGCGGGGCCTCCCCGGCCCCCAGATCCTCGTGCGCCTGTACAGGGACGTCCCAGGGCGGGTGAGCTGCGTTTCTTTTGCCTCAACCGCACACTTTGTGTTTTACCATCACCGAGTGTCCTTTTTCCACAGGAAGAGACAAATTAGCTTGTACGTTTTAGTCTGAATCTAAAATATACCAAGAGCTTTTTCAAAGAAAGTTGAAAACCTTTACATCTCTTTTCCAGCTCCCCTTAACTTTGTCACGTTATTAAAACAGGGTCTAATTTTGTGTTCCCAATAGAAACCTCACCTAGCTTCTGCTTTTGAGAATTTCTCTCTACAAATGGCTTACTCCTGGTATAAGACACATTCCCATAGATCTGCTTGTCTCCCCTGCGTCCTCAAGCGGCCTCAAAGTCCCTCCCTCACTGCTGTCGGCATTTTCACAATTCTGCGCAATACGGGGCCCGGAATAAGGTGTTAAGACGCATCGTGAGAGCCAGCCTGCCGCCCCGTTGTTGCGGCTGCGGGCTTAGAATACATCTTGAGCTAACTCCTTTATTTTGCTTCTGAGGACCTGTAGCTTTCACGGGCTTCCATAGTCACACAGTTTATCTCGGGGACGGTGGATGAAGGGTGTGGGGCGCACGGTGCCCGTGTGAGCCGAGCCCCTCGGGAGCGCTACCTGTCTGACGTTCTCACGCGCCTTGCGTTTCCCCCCACAGAGCCCGCTCAAGCCGCCAGCGCCTCCGAGCCACTGGACATCACTTCCTACAAGAACGTCCAGCACCATGACTACACCCCGTACACCTTCTTAGACCTCAACCTGGACCTGTTCAAGTTCAGGATGCCCCAGCCCTCATCTGGACGGGAGTCACCTCGCCACTGAGCGCCCCCTTCAGGGAGTAACCTTCTGTTGTCTAGGCTATAGAAATAAAATCCGCCCCAGTCGTGAGGCCTCACGTATATAATCCGTGTCCCTGTCACAGTGAACTGTGAACTAGCGACCCTGCTCTGACCCTTTATTCGACATGCATGTAGAAACATCTGTGCAGAAGGGATTTTTCCTCCTTATAAAACTATGGTCTTCTGGGCAGATCTCTGGCCAGTTCAGCGTTCATCGCCTTTACCCGCTAGGTGCTGAGGACTTGCATTTGGGTAGGCCTGGTTCTTGATATATCAAAAATATGAGTCTCGCTAATTTTGTCTGTTGTACTGCAAAGAGATTAAAACATCAGGTTCTAGCGCTTTATTGTTAGAGAAGGAACAGAAAAATCCTTCTGTTCACCATGATTCAGTATTTGATGTAAACTCAGGTGGGATTGGGGGTGGGGAGGTTTTGTGGGTCCATCAGAGCAGCTCCGCCCCGGATGGCCACGGCAGACGTCGGAGCTGCGAAGGGTTTCTGGATTGGCTGGTGATCCCCCTGATGCTTAGGGGCGTGAGTGGTGCAAACAGGCTCGAGCGTGTGTCAGGCGGCGTCTTTGTGCCCACACCCTGCGAGGGCGAGGTCAGCTGTCTGCTCAGGAACCAGTCGAGGTGAGGCTACTCCGACCACAAGAGCAGGGGTGGAAGGCATGTCTGTTTGTCAGGACCTCAGTGGAAGGCCCATCTGCCGACTGGTGTCACGGCCGGGGTTTGCTCTGTGCTCCCGCGACGCCTGGACCCGTGCCTGGACCCCAGGGCATCACCTCCCTCCATCTGCATCCTGGCCGCTGGCCTGGAGTCCGTCTACAGCACCATGACGGTGCACGTGCAGTTCTGTGCCACGTGTCCGTCACCCTGGTCCTGTGATCGTCCGCCTCAGATCTTACTACCGTTGCGAGGCTTGGCCACTCCGCGAGCTTCTCCTGATCATGGTTTTTTATTAGAAAAGTACCAAAGACACATTATCCAAAAGAAAGAAAGCAGAAGACCCCTAGGGCCACTGTTCCCACTGTCACAGAGGTTTCACTCACCTCCCCAGTGGTGGTGGCTTCAGAGAGGTGGCCGTGCGACATGTACATTTTTCCCGCCTGCTGGCTGTTCTCATATGATACCCGGCTTGGCAAACCGTGGCCCATGGAAGGGGTGCGGGGTGCAGGGGGGAGCTGGGGCACAGCCACGGTGCATTTCCCGGTCTGCGCATCCCGCGGGGGCTGGGAGTTCTCCCGACAGTACGATCGGGATGAAGAGATTTTCGTTTGCACCACGTTTCCCCCTGGGAACCAGCCCGTTAGACTGTCCTCCCTCTCCCTCCCCCCGGAACGCTCGCGAGCCGAGGCGGCAGCGCCCCGCCCAGTGCGGCGGCTCTCCTAGCGCTGCCAGAAACGTCTGTGTGGCTGTAACTCATGCCGCACTTTGTCTTTCCTTAAGATGGATTTCCAGAAAGCAGCTGATGAGTCACGTGACTCACAGACACCAGTGCTGCTTCCACGTCCACAGGGTTTTAGGCCACTTGAATAGGTTCGAGCTGAATACTTACTCTGTTTCCTTTTGTGTGTTCCCTGTCACCTGAACCCTGGCATCTCTGGACATTTGTTCTCTTACACCTGCTAGCAAACACTGGGGCCGGAGGGCCTGGTGCGCGGGGCGGAGGTGCGGTCCATGCTAAGAAACCCCGCCCTTCTTCCCGGCCGCTGGCTGATAACGGAAGCCCAGCGGGTTGCATGGGGCCTTTCCGGCTCTGCTTGCAGGCGCGAGCTTTGAGGCTTACTAATCAGTGTCCTCCCACCCATCTCCCAGGGCTCCCGGGGCCCAAGGGGGTGCCCCCTGGCAGCGTCCCCCCCCCGCCCTTGCGCATAAGAAGCGGTGGAAGGTTCGTAAGATGAGTTCCCACAACACCACAGAAGTCCCTGCAGCCTAAGGGACGATGCGTGCCGTGTAGACAGGACCAGCCCCTTCTCCCATCAGAGCAGCGCCGGCACACTTGTGTGAGGGGCCAGGCTGGAAATCTCCGGTAGGGCTTGCCGCATGCAATGTTGAATGGACTTTTGTCTTTTTTTTTTTTACAATCCTTTAAAAAAATGTTAAACCCCCGGGCCCGGTGGGGGGGGGGGGTGCCTGGGTGGCTCAGTCGGTTAAGCAGCGATTTCTGCTCAGGTCATGGGTCTCATGGTTTCTGACTTCGAGCCCTGCGTCAGGCTCTGTGCTGACAGCTCAGAGCCTGGAGCCTGCTTGGGATTCTGTTTCCCTCTCTGCCCGTCTCCCACTTGTGCTCTGTCTCTCTCAAAAATTAGTAAATGTTAAAAAATGTTTAGCCCATTCTTGGCTGTGGGCCTTACGCAACAGCGGAGAGCAGGATTTCCTGAGGGGCCACGGCATTGAAAGGGTTGTTAGAAATCACGTAATAAAAGGGCTGACTAGGGCCACCTGGGTGGCTCAGGGACTTGAGTGTCCCAATTTCTGATTTTGGCTCAAGTCATGATCCAGTGGTCATGGGATCAAGCCCCATGTCTGGATGGTGAGTGTGGAACCTGCTTAAGATTCTGTCTGCCCCCTCTCCCCCTGCTCGCGCACTCTGTCTCTCATGTAACCGAAGCGGAAGGGGCCGGCCCGACAGGTGGCTGCGGTGTTTCAGGGACCCCCGTCCTCGGTTCTGCCGCCTTCTCTCCCGCCCGCCTGCCCCCTTCCCGGCTGCCACCTTTGCTCCTGCAAGGAGTTGAGACGAAGACTGAGGTATACGAGTTAACAGCTGACATGGAGCTCCTTTCAGAGCAAGGTCCCTCTCCTGGGCCTGGAATGAACACGGGTCTAGATGCCCACCGCGTGCTAGGCCTGCATCTGCGTCATGGGGTCAAAGACAGGAAAGACAGATGACCTGTCCCGACTTCGCAGCCTCGGGAAGGAGGCACGTGGGAGGCCTTGGTGACTTGCCGAGTGTGGCAGCAGAGGGGCTGTTAGGGGCCGGGCGTGGGACAGGCTGTCTAACCCAGATGCTGCCAGGTGGCCAGGAAGCCCCGGGGCCCCGCGGCACTGCTGGAGGGAGCCCTCGGCGAGGCCCTGAGGGTGTCGGGGTGGGTCCGTGCGAAGGCCCGGACGAGGACGTTGCTGGCGGCCTGGAGGCCACGGCTTGAGAGGGGACACGTAGCGGGGACGGGGGCTGAATCATGGAGCTGGGCTCTGTGTTGGGTAGCTCAGCCGCTGTAACAGAACACCACGACTGGGGGCTTAACCAGCAGCAGTGTACCTGTACCGTCTCAGTTCTGAGGCTGGATGTCCGAGATCAAGGTGCTGGCCGACGCGGCAGGTGGTGCTGGCCGACGCGGCAGGTGGTGCTGGCCGACGCAGCAGGTGGGGCCTTCTACCCGGCTTGCAGACGGCCACCCTCCGGCTGTGTCTTCACAAGGCGGAGAGGGTGCAAATAAGGTCTCTGGAGTCTCTCTTAATAGAACCCTCACCCCCTCTTGAGGGCCCCACCCTCAGGACCTCATCTAAACCCTAACTTCCTCCCAAAGGACTGACCCCCAAACGTATTGTGGGTTTAGGACTTCAACATATAAATTTGCGGGCAGCGAGAGGGGGGGGACACAAAAGTTCAACCTTAATAAAAACCTAATTTTTCTTAAAGCTTTTGTTTATGGATCTCATCAATCTATAAATATATTCCAATTTTAATAAAAAAAATTTTAAGTTTATTTGTTTACAGAGAGAGCATGAGCAGGAGAGGGTCAGAGAGAGAGAGAGAGAATTCCCAGAAGGCTCCGCACTGTGAGCACAGAGCCCAGTTTGGGCTTGATCTCACAAACCCATGAGATCATGACCTAAGCCAAGATCAGGAGTCCCACATTTAACCATCTGAACTATCCAGGCGCCTGTTAATGAGCATTTCTCAACTTAAAAAGTATATTTTGGGGGTGCCTGGGTGGCTCAGTCGTTTAAGCCTCCAACACTTCATTTTGGCTCAGGTCATGATCTTGTGGTTCATGAGTTCCAGCCCTGCGTCAGACTCTGTGCTTTTAAAATTGCATGTGAATTTTAAAAGTTGGTAGGTACTATAAACCTCACAAAATCCAGAAAATTAACATATTTTAATTCGCCACTCGACACACTTCTATACATATCAGGCAGCTAATAAAAAAATAACATTGGGGGGTACCTGGGTGGCTTAGTCAGTTAAGGGTCCAACTTGGGCTCAGGTCATGATCTCACGGTTCATGTGCCCTTCCCAGGAGGGGCACAAACTCACTCCCCCAAACCGCCTGTGCCGTGCGCCACGCGCAGGCTCCCAAATCATTTACACGGGGTTCAGCACCTACAAACCGAGTGTTCAGCTCAGTCATGCTGGGAACGAACCACCTCCTCGGCCACCGTGGGTGGAGGTGAAGACGGAGTGGGTAGCCCAGAAAGTGGGCCGTTGGGCTCCATGAAGAAGCCGTTCTTTTTACCCAAAGAGGCTGAAATGTCTGTCCGTGGTCCCCACCGGTTAGACCCCCAGCCAGCAGGGAGCTAGCAGGGGGGGAGGGGGACGCAGGGGGACAGAACGTAACCAGGGACAGCCGTGCCGTCTGACGTCTTAAACAGGCAGCCAGCTGGGGCGCCTGGGTGGCTCAGTCGGTTAAGCGTGCGACTCTTAATCTCAGCTCAGGTCTCCATCTTGGGGTCTTGAGTTCGAGCCCCCATTGGGCTCTGTGCTGGGCGTGGAGCCTACTTTAAAAAAAAAGTTTAGGGCGCCTGGGTGGCTTAGTCGGTTAAGCGTCTGACTTTCGCTTGGGTCATGATCTCGCGGTTCGTGGGTTCGAGCCCCGCGTCGGGCTCTGTGCTGACTGCCAGCTCTGAGCCTGGAGCCTGTTTCAGTCTGTGACTCCCTCTCTCTCTGACCCTCCCCTGCTCATGCTGTCTCTCTCTCTCTCTCTCTCCTAGAAATAAAAAAAAAAAAAAAATTTTTTAAAAAAAAGTTTAAAACAGGCAACCAGGGGCTTGCAAACGCATCAAAGAGGCAGAGGTGGGAAGGGAGGCTGAAGCTTCCCCGCACTGTCCTCGGCAGCCCTGC